CTTTAACTTTGATTCTGAGTGTGTGCAATAGTGTAGTTCCTGTATGATTTCTTCCACTGTAATCACCATCAGTGGTGTCCTGGTTTCCTCAGTGGCTTAGGCTGTTGTTAGTTGAAGCTGTGGCGAGGCTGCTGCAGACAGGGATGCCAGGCAGGCCAGTCCTCGGGCCCCAGTGGCGGTGGCAGCAGGCCAAGTGTGCTTGTCTTTGGGCTCTTTGGTGGCATACATTGGCACCATTGTTAGCAGGTCTATGATGGTTGATTATTGGGCCTTCTGGCAGGTGCCAGCAGAAGCAGCTGTAGGTTGGGCAGGCAGACAAGTCGTCAGGCCCCCAGGAGGAGTGCATGCACACCACCCATGGTGTGTGGGAAAGGGCAAACCCTAGGCCTCCAGATGACATGCTTGGGCACTGGGTAGGGGGACGGCGTGCCAGGTGGGTTGGGGCTGTCCTCAGGTCCCTTGATGGTGTACACAGGCACAGGCTTTGGTGAATAAGGTTGGGCAATCCCAAGGCCCCCAAACAATGTGTTTGGGTGCCAACAGCAGGCAGTCTAGGTCTGTTTTTAGGTCCCCTAATGGTGCATATGTGTACCAGAAGTGGCAGGCAGGGCAGATCAATCCCCCAGCCTCCAGACAGTACACTCAGGCACTTGAGGTGGGGGACAATGCCAGGTGGGGCAGGCCTATCCTAAGGCCCACCGCCTTGTGCCCATGGGCACAAGCTGTAGTGGACAGGACAGTCCCCAGGGTCCTGGACAGCATGCTTGGATGCTGGTAGCAGGTGGACTGAGTCTTTTGTCAAGCCTCCTGATGATGTGCATGCACCCCCCGAGCTGTAGATGGGGTCGGGCAATTCCCAGGCTCCCAGATGGCATGCTTGGGGGCACTGGGAGGGTTGGTCCCAGGTGGCAACAGGCCTATCCTCAGGCCTCTATTGGATGGAGTACACGGGTGCAGGACTGTGGTGGGCACAACAGGACTATTCTGGGGCCCCTGCATGTTGTGTTCAGGCAGCGGTGGAAGCAGGCAGAGTGAGTCTATCCTCATGCCCCTGGACTGCGTCCAGGTAGCCTAGTCCCCAGGCCTGCTGAAGGGCATGGGAGTGTGCAGCTGCCCTGAGGGGGAAGTAGTTGCTGTCAGTGGCAGTGGGCCCGGCTGGGTGTCTCTCAGGCTCTGAGGAGAGTGTGCGCCAGCAACTTTTCTCCTAGGGGCACCCCCCGCCGTGCGCTGCCCCACACATTCATGTGAGTGTAGGACATTGTGTGGCTAGAGTGCTGGGGAGCTAGCCACAATGGGTCCAGTGAGTGTTGTGCTGCTGCAGCCCTCTAGGTGCACATGGGGGGCTGTCAGCAGGGCTCCAGGGACATGGAGCTGCAGGCCCCCAGGGCAGGATGCAGTCTGGTGGGAACCGGTTCTCAAAGTGGCACCATGCTTCAGCTTTTAGGTCTTGGGGGGGGGAGGGGTTGGGTGGGGACTAAGAACAAATAACCTCTCTGCAACAATGCCATTGCATGACTCTAGGTAGTTCACTCTACTAGTCTCAGAGCCCAAGAGGGGTTCTCCTGCAGCTAAGATTGCAGGAGTCCTTGGTGGGAATGTGGACCACTGGGAATCTCTCTTACCTTTTCCCTGCACTGGGGAGCCTCTTTGGGATCCTAGCCATCCTGGCCAGGCTGCCTGCCTCTCTTCCCTCTCCTTCCCTGCCTCAGATGTTTCCTGTCACTTTCCCTGCTGAATTCCAGTGTTCTCTCTTGGAGGCTCTATTTGACATGTGATTATCATGTCAAAACTGGCTGTTTTGGTCCTTCTTTGTGGAGGAGTAGTGCCAGGTGCCTCTAGTCTGCCACTTTGAAGCCATGAAGTTTATTTTTTATGGGTTCTTTTTGTCTCTTCTTATACTGTATACTTTACCACTTTATGTAGCTTTATATGGTGTTTTAATATTAGATGGATCCAGTACCTCCATCCTGCTTACTCCTTCCAAGTTTTCTGTTCTTTCGCCCCATGTCCTTTTTTTAGAGTTAATTTTGGTAATTTATATTTCCTAAAAAGTCATCCTTATCTCCTGCATGTTTTCTCATTCTTTGTTTTTAAAATCAGACTCACCAGTGGTTTGTTTTATTGGTCTTTCTAAAGATTTATATTGTGCTTGGGATTTTAATTGGGATTACAGTAAAGTTACATACTAATTAGAAGAGAACATGAATCTTGAGAGTTTGCCATAGTGAACATATTATGTTTTTACATTTATTCAAATATTTCTGTCATTCAGTAAAGTTTTAGAGACCCTCCTCCCTTATATAGTTCCAATTTATGTCTTAAAATTATTCCTTAAACTTATATTTTTGTTCCTATTGTTAATGTGTTTGTGTTCCCATTATAGTAGGACGTGGGCAAAACATATGATTTCTATATGTACATTATAATTGACCACCGTACTAAATTCTGTTATTGATTTCAACAGGTTTTTCAGTGATTTCTTTGTATTTTTATTGACAATCACAGGAGGCAGGGGTACTATTTTGCCTGTTCTTTTCAATATTTACATATCTTATTTCCATTTTCATTTAATTTTATATGCTAGAACATCTAGAACGGTATTTAAACAGTAAGCCTGTTGAGCTTTCTTGTCTTGTTCCTTCTTTGAATGGAAATGTGTTTCATGTTTTAACACATGAAGTTGTCTATCTGGCTGGGATATATATTCTTTATCAGATTAAGGTAATCTCCCTGACTCCTAAATACTGTATTTTATCTCCTTTGACATATTAGTGTGATGAATTGTAACAGTGAGACATTCTCACATACCTGGAATGAACACCATTTAATCATTGGATATTATAATTTGATATTTGTCTGAAATCAATTTCGGATTGATTTGCTAAATCAATTTGCTAAAATTTTATTTAGGATTTTTACTTCCATAGTCATAAGTTTTATTGATCTGTAGTTTTTGCTTCTCCAGATTCATAAAATGAGTTTAGAAATTTTCCATGTCTTTTATTCTTCAAAAAATTTAGAAACATAGAATTATATCTATTTCTTGTAAATTTTAACAAACTATTCTTTGGATATTGGTCTCTTCAAGTTTTTGCTGCTTATTGTGTCAATTTTAGAAATTTATGTCTTTTTATAAAATCATCAATATCCCTTTGTAATTATCACTGTTTATATTATCTTTATTGTTAATGTTATATTTAGGTGTATTTTAGATTTCCTTGAGGTTTGTCAACTTTTAGTATTTTAAAGATCTATGATATATTTTGAATCTTTTCAAATTTATACTTAGAAATAAAAATGTTTGCCAAATTGCAATCATTTACTAATCTATCCACATCATGTATTGAATTTGTAATAATTGTTCTTACAATGGGGTAGAACTGAACTGCAAATGCTCATTTAGAGTTCACGTGCTTTCCAAAAGGCAACTTATCTCAGGTAGTAAGCAGGTAACTTACCAAGAAGTGGCACATTGTAACAAACATGTTGCAGTGTTTGGCAAATTGATTGACAGCCAAATCTTGATTATCAACAAAACAAATGTGAGGATCCTTAGGTAATTTACCAATAGAAATAATCCAGTATTTTAATGTAACCATTTATTTTAATATCTTCTCAGTTATAATAACTATGCACAGCAGTGCAAATATGATAGTAAATGTGAATAGCTGTCATAGCTTCTTTATTCTCTGACCAGTGTTCATGAACAATGAAATAGCCAAATGCATTTAGCAGAAAGGGAAAAAAAAAGCAGAAGAAATAGGTGGCCTGGACAACTCAAACTGTACAGTCATTCTCTAGAGACGGTTGCCCTGATAGGTGTGTGATTATAAATTGCTGCTTGACTAGACATGAGGCAATTGTCTGCTTAGCTCATTCTTCTGAGTAGTGTACATCAGCAGTCCCCAAAGCAGGGCACACAAGGCAACCAGCTGGCAAACAAAAGGATAATATTAGAATTGCCATTCATACTTATTTTTTCCTTATTCTTTTTAAAGATCTTATTTGTGTGTATATATTATATTAGTATAGTCATGTATGTAAATGATTTATAAATAAATAACTGTACATATATTGGTGATATATACTAGAAAATGTTTTACTAAAAGGGATCTAAATCAAAAAGCTTTGGAGACAACTGGTATAGATAGTAGGAATAGCTCTGGAGCAGAAGTGGAGAATCATGAGTATGAAACCTGCTTTAGCCATGTGAATTTGATCAACTGTCTTAAAAATCTGTAAAACGGGAGTAAGAATATCTGCCCTGCCTTCCTCACAGTGTTGAATCGAGGAAGAAAGGAAACTGTGTCACTGTTTGTAAATTCTGTAAATGCTGTGCAAATTGTGATGTTATTTTTTCAGCTTTTAAAATATTTTCTTCAAATGCATTCAGGATACCATGTAATCTTTATAAAAGACCATATTCTACATAGTGGCCAGACATTTTACTTTTAGGATCAAAGGAGAAAAAAATGTTTAGGATTTAACAATTCTATAATTCTAAACGAGATATATTTGCTTCTAACTTCCCAGAAAGTTTTGATGACCAAAACAAAATAAACAAAAATTTTAAACAAAACAAACTTGGGAATTAAAAAAGGAAAGTGATTAAAAGTGAGTCAAGTTTTATCTGTAACTTCAGGAGAAAATAATTTTTTTAAAAAGGGAGAGCGAAAATCAGGCCTTAGAAATAAGGAACTAGTAAAGGAAAAACTGGAGTTCTGTAACCTTAAGAGCCAGCATTTTGATACCAACAGTTAATGATCTCAGGAAATTCTTAAGTATTTTCTTGGCCTGCACTATACCTTGAATGAAAATGTGGAGATTAATTGCAGACCTACTGTTTGCTGCTTCTTCTAATGCTATTATATTATAATTCAGGGACTTACTGGCATTTAAGGATGCCACCATGTAGTAACAATGGGAATTTATTTTCCTTAGAGTTTTGAAAACTCTCAGGAGTTTTTCCTTTTTCTTTTTTTTTTCTGTCTCAATTACAGGTTGAAGCTCCATTCATACCAAAGTTCAGAGGCTCTGGAGATACCAGCAACTTTGATGACTATGAAGAAGAAGATATCCGTGTCTCTATAACAGAAAAATGTGCAAAAGAATTTGGTGAATTTTAGAGAGGAACAATAAGATGACATCAATCTTTGCTCTCTGTTGAGAGATAAGGTGGAGCTGAGACCGTCCTTGTTGAAGCAGTTACCTAGTTCCTTCATTCCAGCAACTGAGTGAGGTCTTTATTGCCATCATCCGTGTATGCACTCTGCATCCACCTAAGCAACAAGGCACCGCTAAGCAAGCATTGTCTGTGCCATGACACAGTGCTAGACCACTTTCCTACTTCTCTTTGGGTTGTCTTTCTCCTCTCCTGCATCCATCTCTTCCTTTCTCAACTTCATTAGTTTTCCCTAAACAGTGCTCCATTTTATCTGATTAGTGTTTCAGATAGGCAGTGTTACGGCTACGTGCTATTTGAAGGGAAGGGTAAGTGTTGCTTTCAGTCGTTCTTTCCAATATTTCTGTTGGTCAATGGCTTCATAAACTTTCTAATAATTATTTGTACTTTGAGTAGCTCAGGCTCAGTTTTGCCAAAACTCTTGACAATTTTCAAGGGTAGCATGTCTTATCATCAAGGAAATTTATACAAATTTAAGAAACACAGTAACTTTGTTGGAATTCTGGCAATAAATTTGGAGAGACGAATACGGAGTAGCTGGATCCAGCAATTTGGATTGCTATAGATCAAAAGTTCTATTTCCCTTTGCCTCTTTTTACGTCATCCTCCCCTTGAGCAATGAAGTGACCAGCCTGTGTAGTGCGACAAGTGTGTCTCACTCAGCAGGATAAACTAATGATATGGATCATCTCCCAGATTCTCTCACCTGGTACCAGCATGCCTGTAGGTGTTAGAGAAGAGTTCTAAGTTTTCTCAACCTTAACTCTTCCATAAGGATGTTAGCCAGTATTTTAATAGAACATGATTAATCAAAGTGACAAATTTTGAAGTTTCTCAAATAGGTCCTCATTGTAAACTTTTTAAAGGAAAAGAAGCAAACTAAAAAGAGCGTTGGTTTGGATAAATGCTTTGCTAAGTCAAATGGCTTGATTCTTGCAAACAATGTAGAGGTACTCTTATTTAAAGTGAGGGTTTTCTGTTTATTTTGTAACCCTTAAGAACACACGAAGTTGTTACCAGCTGGTTACTCTGGTGTACTATACTTGTGAGCCTAAGGTAGGGGCACTACTGCAACTTCTGCTTTCATCCCATGCTTTCTTTGTCAAGGAGGAAAGGGGACAAGTTTATAAAACTGCCACACTTGTAATTTTGAGGTGTGATACTTTCAGATGTCATAATTTTTAACTTCTTATCTCTCAGTAAGCAGAATGTGTGATCATACAGATACGATTTTAGTATTTGAGTTTAGTTTTTTCTTCTATACTTTCTTCCCAGCTGACTTAACAACATTGATGTCAGATGGAAATGTCAAGCACTTTTGCACACTTGGTTCAGTGTTTGTTGAGAATCCATGGCTTAACCGAGTTGTTTTGCTTTTTGTTTGTTTGTTTGGCTTTTTAAGTTTCCCCAACTGGTTTTATCTCTGTGTCTCAGTGACCTATATATTAAAACAACACACCAAAATGGTTTAAAATAAACCCTGCGTTCATTTTTTATGATCAGTTTACATTCATATAAAATGAATTGTTTTTAATCAAACTAATCTTCATGTATATAATCATTCTATTTGCTTCATTATCGGTGCAGGTAGGTCACTGACACCACTGCTTTTTATCTGTACCATACCCTTGTAAAACCTTTGAAGACATCAAAAAATCCTGCCTGAAATGTTCTCTCCACCGATCTATATGTCTTTTGGTTGTCAAGTGTTTCTGCATGGTAATGTCACGTAAAGGCTGACGCTGATTTTAGTTGGTCCACTCATATTTAAAATGTGTAAGAAAAATTTGAAATACTCTTGCTGTAGCAAGTTTTATGTAATAAAGATATATCATCATGTTAATAAATTTAAAACATCATTTGTAGAAAATATTTTAATTTTTTTGTATTTCAGTTAGCCCCAGGAACATGCTGATCATTGTATTCTATATGTATGCTACAAATTCTATGGTAGCTTTGTTGTATATTATTGTAAAATTATTTTAATAAATCATGGGGATGACAATTTGATTATTACTATTTAGTTTTCAGTAACTGAAAAGATTTCTATGAATTCTAAAAATATTTTTTTCTATGAAATTACTAGTGCCCAGCTGTAGAATCTGCCCTGGGTAGTGACCCCTAGACATACATTGGTATTGAGGGCTGTGCAGCCATTCCATTTTACTCTCTATTTATAGGACATGAGCAAGCTTTCAAATGTGTCAAGGGAATCTATTTCCAACCAATCGAGTACTCTGAATTAGAATATTTTTAAGTTCCCAATCTCAGGCACAATTTAGCCAAGAACAAGATAAAAACTTGAATAAGAAATAAGTAGCATAAATCAGTATTTAACCTCAAACTACATTATTTGGAACAGAAAAGACGTTTTTGCTCAATAAATAAGAGATGGCATTGTATAAGAAGGGACCCTAGAGTGAAAGTCAAGACATCTGAGTTTCAAGCCAGAAAACTATCAGTATGACCCTGGCCTCAGTTCTCTTATCTATAAAATGGGAGAGTTAGATTAGGCAGTTTCGAAGGTTCCTTCTAACTTTCACAGGTTATGACAAGATTCTCTTTTTATCTGATGTTTTGGAGAGATATCATGCTTTGAAGTCTCAGTAAGGCGGCATATTTTAGGGCATCTTTCTTCTTATCTCTGACAGTGTTCTTACAATTCTATGAATATCATAAGAACCTCTTGTCTGTCCTAATTCCTTCCTTATTTATTGATACTGAATACCCAGTTGATATTAAACCATCAACCTACCAAAAAAGATACTGTGGCTTATGGGAATTGCTGTCTTATTCTTGGTATGTTCTTGCATTGACTGCCCATTGGCCTGAAAATACTCATTGTAAACCCGAAAAAAAAAATCATTTTTTTCCCACTGTTTCTCTGCTTGTTGTAAGAATCAAATGAAATAATGTATGTGAAAGCACCTTGTAAAATGTAACCTATCCATGTAAAATGTTAAGGTGTGTTGTTATTTCATTAATTACTTCTTTGTTTAGAATGGAATTTCCTATGCACTACCATAGCTAGGAAATGCTGAAAACAACTGTTTTTTAATTAATCAATAACTGCAAAATTAAAGTATCTTCAATGGATAAGACAATTTTTGAGTCTTGAATTCTATCTGATGCCCTTATCTCCGGATTTATTTTCTGCTGATACCACAGATGCCAATAGATTTTAAAATTTGGGATTTTTTGGCCGTGGGAGCAGAGTGACAGGGGGAGGAACGAACATCCACCCATCTACTCAAACTGAATGTTCACTAAGAAACTGTTAAGTCCATTTGGCAGTTTCTAAGAAGTGTTTCTACTTTTCTCATTTCTAATATTGGTCCAAATTACTTCTAACATACTATTGGAAATATTCATATTTAAAGTATTTGATATTGCAAGAGCCCTCCTCTTTACACTGTAACAATGAACTATAAGTCTATTCTTTTTTCTTCAGGAGTGCTTTTGAGCTTCACATTACCTCTTCCCATTTTAGCCAGGTTCATTAGTGTGTATTTCTAAAGTTGTCCTTTACCTCAAGAAATAATCATTTTGGATAATCGTTTTAATAGCTTACCATTTTGTTTGCTATTGCAAACATTTATAAATATTGATGCATTTTCTAACATGGAGCTTACTAATTTTATACCAGTGCTTGCTTCATTTTATCACTATCGGGGCTTTATATAAATTCGAGTTCTCATGTTCTTATGAAACTAATTACAAAGATCTGGGAATGTCTTCACTCCAGGAGTATCATCATTTGAAATCTATTTAACTAAATTTTCTCTTATGTACAAATATTAGAAGTGAAGTTAAATACTTCCTTTTATTTTAGCTTTGCTGAAGATTTCCTGTATGCTTATTTCATAGCCTTTGTGCCTACTGTTCTAGATGGAGTTATGAACAAAATTTCTATGTTGAAGTCCAAACTCCCAGTACCTCCTCAGCATGTGATTGTATTTGGAGCTAAGGCCTTTAAAGAGGTAATTAAGGTAAAATGAGATCACATGAGTGGGCCCTAATCCAAATAGGACTGACAACTGTCCTTATAAGAAGGGATTAGGACATAGCAGCCAGACAAAAGGAGAGCCAGGTGAGGACACAGGGAGAAGACTGCCATCTACCAGACAGGGACAAAGGCCTCAGAAGAAGCCAACTCTGCCAACATCTTGATCTTGGACTTCTAACCTCCAGAACTGTGAGAAACTAAGTTCCTGTTGTTTCAGCCACCCAACCTGGGATGCTTTATCTTGGCATTCTTAAACTAATACACTCACAGAGCTATGTATTCCCATGGCAAAAAGCTTGCATTGATCTCCTTTCAAATGTTTTATACTTGGCCAAAACTGAACAAACTTACCATAGGCAAATATTTTATATATATTATATACTTAATTAAAATATAGTAAAAAATATTTTAATAAAATATTTTATTAAAATATATATTTAATATATAAATATAAAATATTTGCCTATATATATCAGCATGGTCACAAACCTCAGTGCACTTGCTATCTTATATTTCCTGAAATAAAAGCAGGAAACAGTAGCTACTGAGATAGAGTAGGGGAAAGCATGAGTAACCCAAACCACTACTAACGCCTAGTCAGACTTATCTTTGGCATCAAGCTTTCCTCTCCTCTCAAAGCAGTACACAACATAAAATTGAGCACACCAGCTTCATGTTGTTTAGTGTCTCTGCCCATCTCTTAATGGTGATGCTAACAGTGAAACAACCAAAAGGAAAGTGACAATGGGCTGAAGGGCTGACGGAGGGGATACCCTGCTGGCCCATCATCTCCCAGTTATTCAGGGGTAATGCTCAGCAAACTATTAATTTATTAGTTTTCAATTGCTGCTCTAACAAATTCCTACGAACTTACGGGCTTAAAACAATGCGAATTTATTTTCTTAAAGCTCTGGAGATCTAACATCCAAAATGAGTCTGATTGGGTTAAAATCAGTGTCAGCAGGGCTGCATTCCTTTCTGGAGGCTCCGGGGAAGACTCTGTTCCCTTACTTTCTCCAGCTTCTGGAGGCCACCTGCCTGCCTTGACTCATGGCGCTACTCCTTCATCTTCAAAGCCAGCAGCATCCGGCCCCCTCACCTCCTCTCTGCCTTCCTGTTTCACTTTTAAAGACCCTTGTTATGACATTACACCCACCTGGATAATCCAGGCTAATCTATTTTTAAGTTCAGCTGATTGGCAACCTCAATTCTGTCTGCTACCCGAGTTCCCCTTTGCCATATAACCTAACGCATTCACAGTTCCTGGAGATTAGGACATGGGCATCTTGGGGGAAGTGGGATGAGGCATTATGCTGCCTACCACACTTATTAATGTCATTTGAGGTAGAAAATGTGATTATCTAAAAGATGGAAGTGGAGAAAATCTTTTCACAGTTCAAAGAGAACAAAGGCTTAAACTGAGATTTTCCTAAAGCATGGCACTTAGCATGCAGTGAGCATACAAGCACATTGTTACAGAACTTAATTTTGTAACAATGTTAGTTCTGAGTACCTTGAAAGATAGTCAACATTGCTATTTGTCAGTGCAGGACAGTTCTCTGAGTGGCCTTGGACTGGCCTATTTCTCCTTTCCCACATTTCCTGTATGTAACTCTCAGAATAACCATAGAATGTGCTAGGAATGCAATATCCTGATATAGGGAGGAATTGCCTGAAATAGTCTGGACCTTGTTCTCGTTCCTCCTAGGGAATGTAACATTTCAAGTTAGGAAAGAACTACCTGGACTAGCTCAGGCTTTGTTCTTCCTTCCCTTGGGAGCAGGGTGGCCGTTAAGTCTCGCCCATTGAGTCCTGTTGCCCCTTGAGGTATATAGCCCCAGGTGGGCTGCCTTTCAGGATCCCTCTGTGGCAGTGCAGGTGGGGCTTGTGCAGTTGAGATGCCATCTGCCCCTGGCAGCTTGCTCCAGCCTTGGGGGACTGGTTCACAATGGATCTGAGACTTCTTGTCCCTCTCCTATCTGTAAGTAATGAATCAGCTTCATATAACTTGTGTGTCGTCATGTTCTGTCTTACCAAGATGCAGTGGGTGGAAGTGTTTGGACTCCTATTCCTGATGGTTGGCCTAGTGATGGTCTTTGCTATCCTCCATGCAGTGGGAATCCTCCTTTGGGATTGGTAATTAGTGAACCTATTCTGCAGTCAGCAAAATGCCTGTTAAAACTACAAGCAAATGATACTACCCACCCAATAGAATGACTAAAATGTAAACGCCTGGCATTACCATGTTTTTAGTGAGGATATAGATCAGCTAGAACGGTCATTCATTGCTAATGGGAATGTAGTGGGACAGCCGTTTTGGAAAGTAGTTTGGGAGTTTGTTATAAAGTTAATCATTCACTTACCGTAATGATCAGCCATTCCCTTTCAGGTATTTACCCAAGATAATGAAAACACATGCCCTCACAATGACATGAATGTTCACAGCAGCTTTATAGCAGCCCCACACTGAGAACAATCTAATTTCCAGCAACAGGTGAATGGATCAATAAATGTTGGTGTATCCATATAATGAAATACTATGCACCAATGAAAAGGAATGAACTACTGATATAATCAGCAACATAAAGGCAAAAAGCATTTTTGATTGTATACATTTGTCAAAACTTACTGAACTGCATATTTTAAATGAGTACATTAGATCTCAGTAAAGATTAAAAACAATTATGAAAAAATAAATTTTAGAATAGGTATGATAGAAAATCAATAATCTAGAAGATACAGTCTAGGAAATCTCTCGGAATGTGTATTGAAAAGGTGGAGATAGAAAAATATGAGTGAAAAGTAAAGAAACATGGGAATTTTACTTTGAGAGATGTGATAATTATCTAATAGTTATAAAAGGAGGAAACAGAGAAAATGGAAAGAAATAAAGAATTTGCAGAGCAAATATCTCTATGCTGAAGAATGACTCAAGTCCTCTAGTCAAATGGCCTATAAATTGCAAGCAGGACTGAAAAATAAGCATACACTTTCAACCATATAAACACATCTAGATGTATCCTCTTAAGATTTTAGAAATAAAGTTCTAAATCGCTTCTAAAGGAAAAAAAATATTAAAGAAACAATTTCTTATGTGCATGAGACACAAGGAGGTAAAGAAGTAATGTCTTTGAAGTTCTGCATTTTGTTTACTTATCGTTATATACACAGGCACACTATTGTGCCGTTGCAAAGTAGTGGGACTCTTGTCCCAGGCACCCTATGCCTCTGGCATCCAGATAGGCCTGGCCAGTTATGACAAGAGACTGGAGGGAAGAAGGAAGGGGACTCCAGAGTGTCTTTCTCACTCTACTCTCTGAATCCTCTCCTGGGCTTCTGCATTGTTGCAACTCCTGGTCACTGTCCTGCTTCCCTGTTCCATGGGGTGGCCCCAGTTCCTGAGCTCTATGAGCCCTGCCTTCTCCTTTTTACCCAGTCCTAGAGCTGATAGAGTGTCCTGCTGTCACTCATCTTTGGGTCACTTCACCATCCTAGTATTTGTCTTTAGTTTTAGCTGGTCTCATAAATGTCTTAGTAATAATGTGACCGATACTTATTTTTGTTATCTGAAGTGGAGTTCTTTGGCTCCCCATTCATCCACCACCTGTGTAACAGATTTCTTCTATTAATAAGTCTCCTTATTAAAATACCTAGAAGGGTTTCTACTTTCCTGACTGGACGCTGATTGATGTCTCTATTGTCACCACTCCTATTCTGCATTGTACTGAAGGGTCCTATCCATCACTATAAGAGAAGAAACAACAATGGTGAAATAAAGACCATTTCAAATAAAAGAGAGACAATTTCCTACCAACAGATTCTCATTAAGGAACTCTAAAATTGTATTCCAGGAAAAAGGAAATGGTCCCTGAAAGAAGAGATAGCGTCTGGGAAATCTGAATGAAAGAAAAAGAAAGAAAAACACAAAAAAACATCATTAAGAATAAGAAATGAGATAGATACAGAACAGCTTCAAAAACTTAGAAGAGAATTCTGGTCAGGCTAAAACAATCCTTCTTTCCTCCCTCTGTTATCCTTCCCCAAACATATAGCAATGAGAGAACATGTTTTTATATATCTTTAAGGACATACCTCGTG